CTATGGATCAGTACCGATTCCATGGCACCTAAGAACTACATCATGGGCATCCAATGAAGACGGAAGAAATACACAGAATCACTGTACCAAGAGGAATTGGACTACGATGCTGAACCATTTCAGGAAGTAACATATGATCAAGAAACAATAGTGTTAAAAGAAGCCCAAGCTGCCCTAAAGGCATTGGTGAAAAACAAGTCTCCAAGAATTGACAGAAAACAATCTGACACAGTGCTGGAGGCGCTCACTCATCTATGCCAACAAATTTGGAAGACAGCTACCTGGTCAACTGACTGGAAAATATCCATATTTGTACCCATTCCAAAGAAAGGGGATCCAATAGATTGTGGATATCATTAATATTATATGCAAGTAAGATTTTGCTGAAGATCATTCAAAAACAGTTGCAGTAGTATTTCAACAGGAAACTGTCTTGATAACACCTAACAACAACAACATTGGCTGCATTGTTTTGTTTTTAATCTAATATGGAAAGATTTGATCAGAGTTTGAGGCAAGTATTCTAACTCATGGAGTCCTGGTGTAGCACTTAGGATAAACACTTGACCACAAAGTCGGTTTGAATCACAAGGTCGACGGTTCAAACTCACCAGCTACTCCTTGGAAACCCTATACAGGGACTCTATGAGTCAGAACGGACTCAACAGCACTTAACAACAACAGTTCTAACTCACTGCAGTAATTCTAACCAGGCAGTGGTTTCTATTTTGAAAGCCTGAGAGACTGGCAACTATTAACACTGCAAAACTACTATACTCCTTCCATTTAAGCAAAAGATGTATCTTGAACAAGTGGTGGGTGAGCTCACTACGAACTTCCAGCTGCATTTCTGCTTGCTTCCAGACGATCTTATGCTGTGAGCAAAAGGGAGCTTCCTCCTCTCAGCACCCAGTAATCATGGCTACCCAGGGTCCAGAGCAAGGAGTCTTGCTTTATATAAATGAATCTACAAAACAGAAAGCCTGTTTAACAGGAGCATAAAACTTTTGTTCCAATAATATGGCCCTGGTGGTGTAGTGGGTTACACATTAGGCTGCTAAGCACAAGGTCAGAAGTTTGGGTCCAATTGCTGCTCTGAGGGAGAAAGATAAGGCTTTCTGTAAATATTGGTGTTGGTGGCTGTGTGCCGTGGAGTCGGTCGGTTCTGACTCATAGCAACCGTGTACAGGGTTTCCAAGGCTGTAAATCCTTACGGGAGTAGAACGCCTCAGCTTTCTCCCGCAGAACTGCTGGTAGTTTTGAACTGCTGACCTTGTGGTTCGCAGCCCGATTCATAACAACTACGCTACCAGAGCTACAGCCTTGGAAACCCTATACAGGGTCACTATGAATCAGAACCTATTCAATGGCACATAACAATACTGGAGGGAGCCATAATCCAAATCAGAAAGAATGCAGAAGCTATGATGTAGTTCAAACTCTGGGCAGCCTCTGAATGAAATGCTATTCATTATGAGGCATAGCGGAGTCCTGATGTGGCGCTGTGGGTTAATGCACTGGACTGCAAAGTCATTTGAATCACAAGGTCGACGATTCAAGCTCACCAGCCACTCCTTGGAAATCCTATATAGGGTCACTATGGGTCAGAACTGACTTGACAGCACTTAACAGCAACAACGTGGTACAAAACAAGTAACGCTCTACAAATGTTTTCAGTGATCTTCAAGGTAATTGGGATCTGAAATGATCTGTGCCAGAACCAAACAGAATATATATTCTATATTTTATCTCAGCGTTTCTTAAAAAAGAAAATGCTCCACAGCAAAAAATGTTTACTTTTTTGGATAAACCAGATTGGTTCTAAAAAATTTAATTGTTGTTGTTGTTAACTGCCATAGGGTTTCCATGGAACTGATGGTGGGTTTGAACTATATTATCCTGTAGCTTCATACCAGGACTCCAAAAATATCATGGCTGTTTATTAAATAACCAGTCCTCAGCAGCTAAAAAACAAATCACGTGAACGCACATGATCAGAAGGTAAATCGGCCTGTGTTTAGTATTTACATGGACACCAGCTTCAAAATCACTGATTTACATGAAAACTGATGAAGAGATTCTGGAAACTCATTGCTGTTTTTGCTACCGGTTTTGGTTTTTTTTTGTTTCGTAAAATGATAAAAGTTTGCAAAATAAGAAAGTTGAAAACAAATATCAGTAGTTCGAAAAAATGACCTTTCTTTGTTGTTTAAGACCCACCTTACACTAGCTCAGCTTTCTGATTTTTCATTGCCATCATTCTTCAGGGGTTCATATATACCTTGACATCTTTACTGAAGTGTAATATACATACCATACAACTCACTGAATTTAAGTTGCATAATCCAATAATTTCTAATAAATTAATAGAGTTGTGCAACTATCACAACCATCCAATTTTAAAACATTTCCATCACCCCCAAAAAGATGTTTTGTGCCCACTTGCAGTCACTTCCAAATTCACTTCCTACCCAGGCATCCACTCATCTACTTTCTGTCTCCCGAGATTTGCCTTTCTGGAATTTCATATAAATGGAATCATGCACACTATGTTGTTTTAGTGTCTAGCTTATTTTATTTAGCATGATGTTTTCAAGGTTCCTCTGTATGTTGTTGTTTGAACTGCCAAACTTGTGGCTCGTATAGTCCAGTGCCCAGTGCGGATCCTACAGCGCAGCACTATGCATATGCTGCATATGGTCTTATATGGTCACCACTTTTGGTTCTGTTCAGTTTTTGTTTGTTTGACAATTATAAATAGTGCTACTATGAAAGGAGGAAGGAGCTCTGGTAGCGCAGTGGTTATGAATCGTGCTGCGAACCTCAGGTACAGCAGTTCGAAACTACCAGCTGTTCCACGGGGGAAAGATGAGGCTTTCTGCTCCTGTACAGATTTACAGCCTAGGAAACCCTGTACAGGGTCGCTATGAGTCGGAAACGACTCCTGGGCACATAACAACAACAATGAAAGGAGGAGCCCAGGTAGCATAGTAGATTAAGAGCTAGGCTATAATCCACAAACTCAGCAGTTAATCTACCAGTCAATCCATGCTCCTGTAAAGATTTACAGCCTTGGAAACCCAATCTAGGCTAGGTTTGCGTCTGAACTGATTCAAACACACACACATAACCATCAGCACCGCCACTATGAACAGATACCCATACAAACGTGTGGATGTAGTTTTCATTTCTCACCTAGAAGGGAAGATACAGATTTCCTCCCCCTAACCCCAGTTTTTGGAGTCCTGGTGTGGCGCTGTAAGATAAGCACTGGATTGCTAACCACAAAATTGGCGGTTCAAACCCACCAGCTGCTTCTTGGAAACTCTATACAGGGTCGCTATGAGTCGGAACCGACTGGAAGGCACTTAAGAACAACACACTTCAACTGCTCTTCAATTCTGGGTGCGAAGAAGCCATAACAAGCCAGCCATATAATTCAGGTTCCTGGATTTCGTTCGCCCCCTAGAGGCATCTGCAAACCGCTTGGAGTCGCTGTACCATGCGTTGACCAGCAGGGGACAATGCTGCCATCGCGGTAGCACAGGCTGGATCTGCTCGTAGTGCCACTTTTCTTCGAGTCCCTAAGGTACTTCCGGTCATACGGAACTTTAGTGCAGCCAGACGCGCAGTGCGGGGACTCAAGAGTGTAAGGCGCCAGGAGTTACTACTGGCCGCGTTGGTGTTCTGAATTGAGTTACGGCGGCAGAGGGAAAATGGAGACGATTCTGGAGCAACAGCGGCGATATCATGAGGAGAGGGAACGGCTCATGGACGTCATGGCCAAAGAGATGCTCACTAAGAAATCCACGGTGAGTAGGGCCTGGCCAGGGGCTAATTATGAACCTGGGCCCCAGCTGGTGTTGAACCGCTGAGAGCTGCCTTTGGACTCAGGCCTGCCCCGCCTCCGTTCCCGCACTCCCCAATTCCTTCTGCGAGCTCAAACCTTTGCTAACTCCCCGGTCCTGCAAGAGGTAACTCCTCTTGCGCCTCCTCCCCTGGAGCCCGCGGCGCTCCTCCGAGCTGCGGCCTTAGTCCGGTCCTCGGCTCTGCTCCCCAGAGGCCTCTGCTTCTGTAGTTTAGGGTAAGCTCCGCCCTCGGGTGGCTTTTGCCACGCCAGGGCTCCGACTAACGGCCTCTGTGTCACTGCTTTTCTTCAGCTCCGGGACCAGATCAATTCTGACCACCGCACACGGGCCATGGAAGATGTGAGTGCTCCGCTGTCCTTTGGGGGTGAGGGTTGCGGGAAAGGAGAGGGGAGGTAGACTGAGCACAGGGTTCTCTCACTTTGAGCCCTGGCCAGCGTTGTCTGCTGGAGCAGAACCTGAGCGCACTGAGTTGCTTTGACACACTTTATGTGAGTGGGGATCACTTATTCTTCTTTACTTGGAAAGTCGCATCTTCTTACAGCATTCTGTATCGCTTGCATATACGAATAGTTATGAGGATTCAGGCACAGAAAGTCTTCCTAAAACAGGGATGTCTATATGAATGGCTCCCCTCATAACCAGTGTTAGAAGTGTTTTTGTCTACCAGACTGCCTTTGCATAGTAATAATTCATTTGCTCGTTTTAGGAAAAGAAAGCTATTCAAAAGTTAAATGTAGGTTTATTGTACTTTATGCTTTTACCTATATTAGAAATCTGCTTAGAAAAGATTAGAGACCTAATGAGTTTGTGATTTGCAGGAGGTGAACAGCATTGCCAGTCCTAGTCCCATATCTAAGTTCTCAAATCCAGAATGCTAACCAATGGAATTTTTGGACATTATTATGTGGCAAAACTTGACCTGACCTCATCTGTTAGCAAAATTGAACCTGAAACATTGAAAGACATTATATTGTGTTTATTCTCCCACTTGGTTTTTGCCAATGCCTTCAGTGCAGATTGGACATTTTCCTTTAATACCATTGATTCTTGATCATGTGCTACCTCCTGAAATGGTTGAATGTTGACCAGTTCTTTTTGGTACAGTGACTGTGTATTCCTTCATCTTCTTTAAGCTTTCAGTGTTGTTTAACATTTTGCCCATGGAATCCTTCAGTCTTCCAACTTGAGGCTTGAATGTTTTCTTTACCTTGATAAATGCCACACCTGTTGCCCCCCCCCTTTTTTTTTTTTAATTTCAGGACTTTGCACATTTCATCATAATACTTTGCCTTCTCCAGCCACACTTTGCAATTTTCTGTTCTTTTACTTCATCTTTTTTTACTCAGTTTATTCTACATACAAGAGCAAATTTCAGCATTTTTTGACATCCCTTTTGATCTTTCTTTTTTTTTTTTTGCTAAAATTGTCTGCAGAGCATTATAGGATTCTTGTATTTGTATTTCATTATGATTGAGTGTTGATACGTTCTTAGACCCTCACCAACTGTCTCCTGTGGGTATAGTTAGAGAATGGAAACATGTTCACCCTTCATGGATTGTTGGGCTGGTGTTGGATGTTGTGTCTTCGTTGATCAAGTAGCTTAGGAACTGGTATGAGCTCCTGCCCAATGGGTGGTGCTGCAGAGGGCATGGTATGCTTGTGGCCAGGCTGTATGGGCACAGTTGTTGTCTCCTGTCAGGTGGGAAAGAGAGAAACACCCCCTCACACACACACACACACACACACACACACACACACAGAGAAACAAAACAGAATAAACAAACAAGGAACCAACATTGGAAAAAGAATTAAAAAAATAATAAAAAAAGCAAAGAAATAAAAACAGGCAGCAACCAGAAATAAAGAATATAATAACATAAAGACAAGAGGAGAAATGGAGTTACAGAAGAGAGAAATAAGAGAGAAAATAAAAGGGAGAAAGTTTTTGTTTTTTTAAATCTTGTAGAAAAACCAAGAAGAGGAAAGATGAAAAGAGAGAGTAGTAAAGAAAGATCAAAAGGGGGTAAAAAAAGAAGAGTGGAAATGAGGAACAGAAAAAAAAAAGGAAAAACAAAAGCAGAGCCATACAGCATAAAATCCAAGAGAATGGGAAGAGAAGAAGGAAGAGAAAAAATAAACAACAGCAATGAAACAATAAAAGGGAAAAAACAAAAGCAAAACAGTGCAACTGTTGGACCTGGAGAAGAGAAAATTCTGGGGACTCCTGTAAGACAAGGAGCTCATGAGCTGGGTGTTGGAGAGATGTGACAGTAGAGTTCCTAGCCTTGATGGAATTCTTATCAGTTGCGGTGTTATCACTGTTCTGGACACTCACTTCAGAAGTAATTCATGGAGGCCCTTGATGGAGCTACCACAGGGCGGCTGGGGGCAGGGTGACTAGTTAAATGCTAGTCTAGTGATTCTTTGGGTTCCGTAAGTCTAGAGCAGATTCTACCTGATTCCAGGCACCAAAATAGCACAACCAGCCCCTGCCTCACATTGGTATGCTTCCAACTCTGTGGCTTTGAACTCCCCAGAAAGCAAGGTCTGTGTTGGATGGAGGTGGGTGAGGGTGGGAGCTGGCCACAGCTGTTATCACCTGGGATGCCTGGGGAAAGAGAAGGAATGGCACCTTTCCCCAGTGGGTAGCCTGTGTGATCTGCTCTGCTAAGCCTCTGCCTGTTGCCAGACTACTCATAAGATGGTTGCATTGATTGCATCTGGCTAGCCATTCACAAGTCAGCGTCCCTCTCTCACCTTTCCTGCTTTGCTTCTCCTCCCAGGAAGCACTCAATCCACTTCTCTAACCTTGCCTCTGAAGTTCAGGGTTCCAGAATTTTCATCTGGGTCTGTTTCATTTGGTTTCTTGTATGTTTGTTGTAGAGTGTCCTCATAGTTTGTCTGTCTAGTCTGCCAAATTGCTGCAAGTCCCCTGGTCAAATCTGTTCTTAAGGTGATCTCTAAATTCATGTAGCTGTTTACTCCAAGTTATACTTTGGCTCTCAAAGACTTGTTGTAATTTTCTGCAGCTTCAACTTCAACTTCCCTATGAGCAGTTGACTCCTAGCCTTGTTCTTATTAATGCAATCAGTTTGGCTCTTATGTATTCTACTAGGCCACCAGGTGGTGGTGTGCCATGGAGTTGATTCCAACTCATTGCCACCTTGTATAGGGTTTTCAAGACTATAAATCTCTACTGGAGCAGAAAGTGTCATCTTTCTCCTGCGAAACAGCTGGTAGTTTCAAGTTGCTGACCTGGAGACTAGTAACCCAACGTGGAACCACTATGCTATCAGAGGTCCTATGTATATGTGTGGTTGTTGTCTTTCATGTTGTTAAAAAAAAAAAGTCTTTCCAGTGAATAGATCATTAGTCTTGTAAAAATCTGTCGTGATCGCCCGTTTTGTTTCCGCCACCAAGGCTATATTTTCTAAATCTTGGTTGTTAAGTGCTGTCGAATTGATTCCGACCTATAGTGACCCTTTATAGGGTTTCCGAGGAGCAGCTGGTGAGCTTGAACTGCTGACCTTGCAGTTCAGATGGCTTTGCAGTCTGGCGCATTAACGCACAGCACTACACCGGGACTCCATATTTTCCAAATAGTGATCTTTTATTTCCAAGTTCCACATTCCAAACATGATTGCATGTTTAATCAATTTTAGATTGCAGAATTGCTAAAAAACAAAACAAAACAAACTTTAGTTCCCTCAGGTTTGGCCATAGTGGGTGATGTATGAATTCAAATAACATTTATATTAACTGTTCTTCTTTGTTGTTATTGTTGCTAAGTGCCTCATAGCAACCCTGTACAGGGTTTCTGAGGAGCAGCTGGTGAGTTCTAACCGCCCACCTTGTGGTCTAGTGCTTGTAGACATGTGGATAGTATCCTCTGACAATATTGTATTTCCTCTTCGGTTTATCATTCCTGGCATAGTAAACCATATGACTATCCATTTCAGAATGGCCAGTTGTAGCCCATTTCAGCTCACTAATGCCTAGAATATCTATTTTAAAGCATTTCATTGTCATTTTTTCCAGTTTCCCTAGAATCATACTTTGTACATTGCACATTCCTACTACTGATAGATGTTTACAGCTGTTTCTTCTCAGTTTGAGTTGTGACCATTGGCAAATGTAGGTACTGAAAGCTTTGCCTCATCCACATTATTAAGGTCGACTGTTTGAGGAGGCATCTCTTCCCATGTCACATTTTGAGTGCCTTCCCACCTGAGGGACTCATTGTCAACAGTATATCAGACATTGTTTAACTGCTATTCAGAAGGTTTTCATGGGCTATTTTTAGAAACAGCACCAGATATATATTCAACCAGAATAGCAAAACAAATGCACTTTCATTAATTCTTGGGGCTATCATTTGTTTTATGCAAGCACTTTTTTATCTTTAAGCCAATCATAAAACTCTTTGAAGGAACATTGTGGTCTAAATTGAGAATACCACCCAGAGAAAGGAAACTATCACATTTTTATAGCTGTCTTCTACATACTTTAAAAGGTACTCTGGTAGCGTAGTGGTTACGAATCAGGCTGCGAACCACAAGGTCAACAGTTCGAAACTACCAGCTATTCCGCGGGAGAAAGATGAGGCTTTCTGCTTCCGTAAAGATTTACAGCCTTGGAAACCCTGTAAAGGGTCGCTATGAGTTAGAACTGACTCCACGGCGCTTAACCAACCAACCCAACCAACATACTTTAAAGAGGTTTTCAGAGAAGCAATTTGGAGTAATTATTATCTTTTAATGCATGGCAAATCAAATCCAAATAAACAATCCTCCTTTCAGTGTATTTTTCAAAAGAGCCAATTTATATCAAAGAGTATTTCAAAGGTGCTCTGGTAGCGTAGTGGTTACGAATTGGACTGCGAACCTTAAGGTCAGCGGTTCGAAACTACCAGCCGCTCCGCGGGAGAAAGATGAGGCTTTCTACTCCCGTAAGGATTTACACCCTTGGAAACCCTGTACAGGGTCGCTATGGGTCGGACCCGACTCGATGGCACTTAACAACAACAACAACTAAGTCCTGGTGTGGTGCTGTAGGTTAATGCGCCAGGCTGCAAAGCCGTTTGAAATGCAAGATCGGTGTTTCAGGCTCAGTAGCTGCTCCTCGGAAACCCTATATAGGATCACTATGGGTCAGCATCGACTCTGTGGCACTTAACAACAACAACTAATGACCCAATCATTCTTAGTAAATTGTGCCACTTAGACAGGCAGGCCCACATAGGAAGCTGTGTTTTTGTTGTTGTTGTTTCAGGAAAAGGAGAGAATTGAAACTTAAAACAACCTTTTGAAAGCTGACAGAGTCAGCCTTGGCCATGCTACCTGATTGTGGGTGAAAAAGCCAAGACAGTACCACACTTTTAAATAGTACAACACTGAAGTAAGCAAAATAGGGAACCCAATGTCTACTGGAACTTCAGTAGAAAAAAAATAGGTTCTAGATCCATAATTTCAAAATTTAGTCACTGTTTATATACCAACACTTTATCCTAAAGCACAACTTCTAATTTGACCCTGGAGTTTCTGTTTCTGGAAACAAACTACATATAGCTTCAAAAGAACCTAGTGCCTAAACTGCTTTTACTACTGTTTGACATCAAAGATTAGTTTCATCAAGGTTCAAAGACCCATCTAGGCACATAGCTTGGATGGGTCACCCCAGTCCCTATGGGACCCAGAAATCTCGATTTCATGAGAATTAACACTATTTCTCACTCTTAAAGGTACTAAAACCCCCAAGAACTTAATATCATATTGCTCTAGGTTTATTTGGCCTTGATCAAAGAGCCGTGTAGGTTGCTTAGCTCTGCAATTGTGCAAATTGCTTTATTCTGATGGGTTTGTGTTTGCCTTTCAGAGGTATATGGAAGTCAGTGGGAACCTGAGGGATTTGTATGATGATAAGGATGGGTAAGTAACGATTGCAGGTAATCCAGGAATTAGTACTTCTGAGGAGCCATGGTTTAAGGACTGACTTTGTGTTCTGTGCTCTGTGAATTTTTCCTGAAATGGTAGGTTACGAAAGGAGGAGCTCAATGCCATTTCAGGACCCAATGAGTTTGCTGAATTTTATAATAGACTCAAGCAAATAAAGGAATTCCACCGGAAGCACCCAAATGAGGTATGAATCATAAGGTTTTCAGTGACTAAATATTCAGAAGTCATCCATCTCTCCTGCTTCCTAGTCTGCCTTAGTTTGGAAGCTCAGCTGAAACCTGTCCATCTTGGTTGACATTGCTGGTTTTTAAAATACCTGTGGCATAGCTTCCAGAATCACAGCAACACATAAACCTCTACATTACCACAAAATTTTGGTGTTATTCTTAATGTTGACATATCCCTGCACTCTATGTAACAATGGTCCACTGCTATTTGTATGGTTTTTAGTGGCTAAATTCTCAAAAGTAGTCAGAAAAAGTGTAGTGAGAATGGAGATGTGGCACTCCATTGAAGTCGTGGGAATGAGCGTCTGATGACAGGTAAAGGCAGATCATGGGGAGTGTGGACATGCATTGGAAAGGCGGGCAGGAAAAGGAAGACAGAAAGCAGCAGGAGAGTGATAAATATATGGAAGGTGTATTTACAAAAAAGGGGGAAGAAGATAAAGCAAAGTAATTAGAGAATACTAGTAGGCCCCTGCTGAGAAATCAAGGCCAAGTAAAGCATCAGAAGTCCAACTTTCTGTACTGCCCATTCCTTTGACATTGCAATTTTTATGTTGACGAATGCCCTAAACTTTTCTCTTTTGCCTCAGATCTGTGTGCCAATGTCAGTAGAATTTGAGGAGCTCCTGAAGGCACGAGAGAACCCAAGTGAAGAGGCACAAAGTAAGTAGGATCTAACATTCTTGGACAGTACTGTCAACTACAGGATTTTGTCCTTTGAGCCTGGAAAGCAGGGCCCCAGAGGAAATTCTTTGTAAATGAACAAAATTTTCATTGCTTCACTTCCCCAGGGAATATTTAACTAGTTTCTCTTGCTTATTTTTTCTTTGCTGATTTCTGGACTAGATTGACATCCCAAATTAGCCTTGGACAAAATGTTTGCTTTGTGATAGCTTAGTTCTGAGTCACTGGCTCAGAGAGCTGAGGTCAGTTCACTGCAGGAGTTGAGGGAGGACAATTTGATGATGGGGGATGCCTTATGGAACAAGCAGCACGTTTAAAAAGGCTAGTCCAAGAAAGTGGTCTTTACTACCTGGTCATTGGTGTCTCTGATTCCTTCAGACTTGGTGGAGTTCACAGATGAAGAGGGATATGGTCGTTACCTTGATCTCCATGACTGTTACCTCAAATACATTAACTTGAAGGCGTCTGAGGTAAGGCCTGGGAGAGGGAAGAAGGAGGTAGTTCTGAGTCCAGTGGTGGTAAGTCGGGCTACTGGGCTGGGCTGCTAGACATGAGACAGTTACAGAGTGTCTTTAATTCTGTATTATATTAGGGAGAAAGTGGTATGCTTTCTTAGAATGAAACAGTATTCAAAATGAAAGTCAGGTTTCTATGATAAATTCACAGCACAGTCTTACTTTTTTGGTAGACCTTAAAAAAAAAAAATTAGAACCACAAATACATATCTGATCCTATGTGTTATGCACATGCAGTACTAGGTACATGGTGTTACTATTGTTGTTTGGTGGCATCAAGTCGGTTCCGACGCATAGCAACCCTGAATAGGGTGTCTGAGACTGTAACTCTTCAATGGAGCAGAAAGCCTCATCTTTCTCCCACTGAGTGGCTGGTGGACTCAAAGCGCCAACCTTGTGGTTAGTAGCCCAGTGCATAGCCTCCAATGCCACCAGCACTCCACTAGGTACGGGCCAGATTAAAAATAGAAAAAAATCTGTCAGGTAAGGACTATCTGAAAATCTAAAGACATTGAAGGTAACTTATTGTAAGAGACAAAGTTTACTTTGACACTGTCAGAAAGGGTATAATGAAGTATATGATTAAGTGCCTCATGAAGGTGTGACGAAATGTCCAAAATGTTTAGTAACTAAACTTTAAACTCTGTGAGGACCGATCCCTGGGCCATCTTGTTTCCTGCTATATCCCCAGGATTTGGTACAAAGATGCTCAGTGTTTATATGAGTGGATAAATGGCACCTTTCAGGACCTTTCAGATGTAATGGATGTCAGAATCTTAAAACAAGTGCCTGTGTGCAGTAAGTGTTCAGTGAATGCTGTTTTCAGCTAACTACATATGAACTTAACTGTTATTTTGCAGATGGTTGTGTCTGATATTCTCAGTACAGTGGAATGCATACAACAGCTAGTGTAGAAATTGAGCAATGGGAAATAAAAAGACTAAAATGGGCTGGCCCTTGTTATTTGTTAGGGAACACTCCATTTTGATGTCATGAGAGATTATGTTGTAATTGAATTTTATGTCATCTCTTTTTAGAAGCTGGATTATATCACATACCTGTCTCTTTTTGACCAGTTATTTGACATTCCTAAAGAAAGGAAGAATGCAGAGTACAAGAGGTAGGCATTAATAATTTTGGGGCCTCTGCTAGATTGATAAAAAGAGTATGTAATATGAAGGTTTAAGGACAAAATTCTGAATTTTGAAGACATATGAGGGAGCTTCAAAAAGTTCATGGAAAAAATCTATTTTGATTCCGTTTTTCCATGAGTTTTTTGAAGCCCCCTCACACGTGACTTCCAGCCTTTCTAGAGCATGTTGTTGTGGTGTGCCATCTAGTGGGTTCCAACTTGTAGCAACCCTGTATAGGGTTTTGTAGAGGGCTGGTGGATTTGAACTGCTGACCTTAGGGTTTCCAGTCCAGTGTGCTTATCCTCTAGCACCACACCAGGGCTCATTTAGGGGTTTGGAATGTCATGAAAACATTTGTAGTACTCTAGCTGTGGAAGAATATGTAGCTATGGGCATACTGTGATCTTATGTCGATACTACTGTTCATTGTATCTTGGTCTACATCCAGAGACCTCTTTGTCTTTGGAGTTGAGTGGGAGAAAATGATACATTCTCAGATTGTGTCTAAAGTGAAGTGCCTGGGTCTGATGTATAAGTTTTGTTTGTGTTGTTTTGCTCCTGGTTAGTGATCTGCTCGCCTAGTGGCTTCTCTTTTTAAGGTTTCTTCTTATGTGAAATCTTTTATGTATGGAATTAATGAAAACTTTAGTGTTTGGAATTGTATCATAAGAGTGAAACAAGGTCGAAAAGGTCAGAATCGTAGTGACAGTTAGGGGGAAGTCAGTTGTGAGTCCTTTAAGAACTGATAATATTAGAATGACAGATCTCTTCTATAGAGCATAGCCGTAGATCAGAACTAGACATTCTTGATGCTTCCTCTTTATTGCCTGTTTCTCTATAGATACCTAGAGATGCTGCTTGAGTACCTTCAGGATTACACCGATAGGGTGAAGCCCCTCCAAGATCAGAATGAACTTTTTGGGAAGATTCAGACTGACTTTGAGAAGAAGTGGGAGAATGGCACCTTTCCTGGATGGCCGGTGAGTTTCAGTGGAGGTGGGGCTGGAGGACTTGGCCAGGGAATTGAATTTACTTAATCTCCAGCTTCACTTCTCTGTCAGGAGTATTACCTGTTGAGTCCCTCAGTTACACTTGTGGCCATGAGGTGTTGTTCCCTGCCAGGCATGCAAGGTTTTTTCTTTGTACTCTAGAAATAGATTTGCCAGGACCCGCTTGCTATAGTGCGGACCCAGGGTTTTAACCAGAGTCCTTATATGGTGCTGTAGGGTAAGCACTGGACCACAAGGTCAGTTTGAACCACAGGGTTGGTGATTCAAACTAACCAGCTACTCCTTGGAAAACCTATACAGTATCAATATGAGTTGGAACCGACTCGATGGCATTTAACAACAGTGTTAGTACTGATGTGTGTGGTGCCTAGTATCTCAAACCTTGTTAGGTAACCTGTTGGAAATCTCTGCTATCTATCTAAACTCCTGGAGATAAGCCTGAGCTTTTACTGAACCCTCAGAGAGAAATGGATCGCCTGGGTTTTTTGTCCTGTCCCTGTATTTGGTCTTTACTCATCTATATGTATAAGAAAGGGGCCAGCCACCTGACATTCTAGATGGCTCCTGGATTTCAGTAAATGTTATGATGTTTTTACTAGAAAGAGACAAGCAGTGCCCTGACCCATGCTGGAGCCCATCTGGACCTTTCTGCTTTCTCCTCCTGGGAGGTATGTTTCCTACTGCTCACCTGTACACCCTTTCTCCAGACCACATGCTTTCTTGTTTTTAATGTCATGCTGTATTCTAATAAGACACCAGCTTCCGGGGCCAGTCTCTGCAAAGAATCTGGGAAGGTGAAAATAAATAAAAATTCTATAGCTACTTTGAAACCTATGTAATAATACTTCTGATTTTATTAACCTTGGTGGAGGTAATGTAACAGTACAGTGTGTTTAAGTATGAATCATTGGAGGGTTGAAAGTACTACTGGGAAATTGGCTGTGAAACATAAAGTTCTGCCTCAGGAAAACACACACACACACCACACACACACACACCAGTCTGAGAAGACCTGAATTTGAGCATTCATTGTACTTTATATAAGTCTACTTGTATAATAATATAACTTTTCCCTTTTTGGTACAGGAGTTGGCCTCCCTGGGTCTGGACAGATTGAAATCTGCACTCTTAGCTTTAGGCCTGAAATGTGGCGGGTAAGAGATTGTGGATTGTTTTTTTTTCTTCCTGCTTTGTTTTGTTATTTAAATCAAAACTGTCTATTTAACTGTTTGCTAGATTTTCTATGGCTGGTTAGAATGGTTCCATTCTTTCTGTAACCCTATACTGTAAAAATGTGTATGGTGCACATTTGTATGGTGAATTAACTCTGAAATCCTTTTCCCTCCTGTCTCAGAACCCTAGAAGAGCGAGCCCAGAGGCTGTTCAGCACCAAAGGGAAGTCCCTAGAGTCACTTGACACCTCCCTGTTTGCCAAAAATCCCAAGTCAAAGGGCATCAAGCGGTGAGTGGCTGAAGTGGCACCTTAAGTTTATACTTGAGCAGAATTTCTTACCACAGCAGATTTTAAAGACAGTCGTATCCTAGCAGTCCAGTCTACCCTCTTTTCCACAAATAGAGAGTACTGTCGCTATGAATCTATAGAGTCGAGAGTGAATGGTACTCAGGAGATTAAGAGTAGGGGACGCCTCAAAGGCTGAGACAGTGCTACAGGTACCATTTGTTGTTGTTAAGGGCCTTCGAGTTGGCTCTGGCCCATAGCGACCCTGTATAGCGTTTCCAAGGAGCAGCTGGTGAATTTGAACCACCGACCTTGTAATTCAAACAATTTGGCAGTCTGACACATTAGCCCACAGCACCACTAGGGAGAATAAAGTGATAAATAGTTTTCTAAAATAGTTTTCTAAGTTTATTTTTGCTAGTGACCCTGAATTTTTTTCTTAATTTTTTTTTACTTTATTTGCATTTTATTTTAAGCTTAATATACTCCCAAGCCATCATACTTTTTTTTTTTTTCACTCCATCATACATTTTTGCTTCTTCAGTTTCCTCTGTGCAAGCTCTTCTGGTTTAGGACCAAGTTGCTCCTTTTTAGTCATGATCATCTCAATCTCAGTCATCAAGGTGAGGCATTCTGCTCCCCTAAAGATTTATAGCCTCGGACATCCTGTGCCAGGATCACTATGAGTCAGAACCGACTCCACGGCCTGTAACAACAACAGCATCTCAATGTGGCAGGGGGAGCTCCTGTAGGGGTTGGTCCAGCCATGAGCTCTGTAAGTTTGGTGGCACATCTTGGGGGCTTTGTTGGCCCAGACATGCTTAATGATCAGAGAATCCACATCTAAACTCTTAAGTTCAGCATTGCTGTCTGCATTTTTAAGCATGTGCAGCAAAAATTCAGAACTCTTTTTGGGCCACTGACCCTGTGTCCAACCCCACTATTTAACCTGAACACACCTACCATTGCCACCATTGTAATGTCGCACTTACATTACTTTGTAATGACACTTCTGCAAAGTGACATCCTTCAGATATTTGGTGACTTTTCAGATATTCATACCCTTGATGGCCTGAGCAGTCTCATGGGTGTTCTTAAAGTGGACCCAGAGAATTGAACCTCTGGATTTGCATGATTTTGTGGGGTTTTCTGGATCAAGTGAGTAGAGAACCATTTTCTGAAATTACCTTAGGCCGCTTACAGTAAGAACTTGATTTTTTTTTTTATTAATGTTTTATTGTGAATTATGTGATAGTTTACATGGGAGAACATTAGTTTTACATTCATTCTATTGTATATCGTTTCATTGCCACGGCTACAATCCCCTCCATGCATCATCAACCAACCAAAGGGTATACCCTGAAAGCCTGCCCCCTCACCCCCGGTCGTCAACACACAGTCTCTCTCTGTCTCTGGATCTCAAGTCCCCAACTGCTCCATCTCTCCACGTCATGGTCTCTGCCTCCATCTCAGGCATTACTGCTTCTCTGGGTAGGGTCCCACTCTCCGCTCTTTTCCATTGATGGTTCCAGGGCCCTCCACTCCTAGACTGCAAAGTTAATCACTCCCCTACTTGCTATAAAATGACCACCGTTACATTTCCAATCCTCACAATCAGTCCTAATAACAATTCTTCACTATTGTATCACAAGAGACCTATCTGCATTGAATGTATTCTTGATTCACATACTTCTACCGGTTTTCTTTTTGTGTGACTATTTTTCTGATTCTTAGAACCCTGGAGAGTCATTGAGATTTTTTTTTTTTAAAACAGGTTAGAAAATGTATCCGTTCTGTCATAATTACCTGGGATTTAAGCCCAGGTCTGCCTGACTCCAGAGCTCTTTTTTCCATATCACACTTCCTTTGTAGGTTATAATGATGGGGATTTAAATGTTGTTTATAAGTCTTTATAAAAGGTCGAAGAGGACCTTTGAGCACATTCTGAGAAATAGCCTCAGTACTTGTGTTAGCAGGTCCTGAGCTGAGCAGACTGTGTGCTTTCAGTGTGTTTATATTGTAGTTTTCAATGCAGCTCTGGAGTAGATGTTCCCTAATGTGGGGTGCAAGGCATTGGTGAAATAACCCTTGAGTGATACAGCTTATTTCTTGTTCTCAGAGACACTGAGAGGAACAAAGACATCGCTTTCCTAGAAGCCCAGATTTATGAATATGTAGAAATTCTTGGGGTAAGTAACTGTCGTCTAAGGTATGAGTGAGACAGGATTATTTCTTAGGAAATAAGAGAAGAAACTTACATTAAACTAGTGGAACAGAAAATGGGGTCTTTAGTCTCTCAGCATCTATATCTTTTCATTAACTTCCTGTTCTGTCAGCTGTATTCTCAAGGTTGCCCACTTACCATGGGGCTGGAAATCTCTTTTGGGTACTGGCATAGAGAATAGGCTCCCTCCTCTAATTACTATCCAGAATAGTGCAGGCAGATCAGAGAAAGGCTACTAACATCTATTTGGGTATATATGGCTTACTATGAAAAGTTATCGCCTACACGCCCAGAAAATGTGTTAGTGATGTAAAACTGGCTATGGCCTACTCTCTGAATATTCTTTGAGGAGGGAGCCAAATGGTGGGCTAGGGTGAGAAAAGGCCTAGCTTGACTAAGATCTCTTAAGAGGTAGGGGCAAGATTTAGGAGGAAAATAGACCTCTTTCAGGGAAGAGCTCATCGGAGGAGATGGCTAGTGCTTCACGGAGTGCTGACGAAGACCATCCTTTCTGATGGGGTCCGCTTTTGCACAGTTCATCTGTTCCTGAGACTTTGTCTTTGTAGCTCCTCAGTGGTGTTTGATTAGGTGGCTCTAGCTTACAGCTGTCCCCTAAGAAGTTAACCTATCTGTCAATTGGCACGGATGTTTGCATTTTGCCCTTGGTTGAAGGCACACCTGTAACAGCTGCAAGACTAAGTCCCTGTTGGTTTCCTCTGCTGTGACTATTTTCAGTGAGAAAGACTAGCCAGACATTGGAAGTTTGGGTACTTAAATTTCCTGTGTGGTGTTTTAAGATAAGCACTGTACTGCAAAGTCAGTTTGAACCACAGGGTCATTGGTTCAAACATACCAGTTGCTCCTTGCAAACTCTATACAGGGCTGCTATGAGTCGGAAACGACTTGATGGCACTTAATAATATTCTCCACAAGGAGCCCTGATGGCATAAATGAGTAAGTGCTGGAGCACTAAGCGATAGTTTGGCTGTTTAAACCCACCCAGGGCTTCACTCAAGGAAAGACCTGGCTCCTGTAAGGAGCATTTCTACTCTGTCTTCTAGGACCACTTAGAATCACTGTGATGGCACACAACAATGTATTTGCCACTGTGTACTTGGGCTGTGCTAGGGTGGGCAGCAGTCTGAGTAGCGGTCTTCTAAAGGCATGAAATGAACCTACCAGTCTCCTGTTTTCAGAGTATTTTGCATTCCCTGCCAGGAGGTGGCACTACTCTCTTTGGAGTTTGACCCAGTTCCAGCCAGAACGGTTTCCAGAAGTCACTCTCATTTTGTACTGATGGAATTTTCCTATTATTTCACATTTACTGAATCTGATAGTTTCCAGGCAATGTGCTAGATATTTGAGCTGCTGTTGCTAGGCTCTTGACAAGTTGGTTCCAACTCACAGTGACTCCGTATAGGGTTTCTGAGACTGTAAATCTTTACAGGAGCAGAGAGCCTCTTTCTCTGCAGTGCATCTGGTGGACTCTAACTGCCAGCCTTGTGGTTAGTAGTCCAGTGCTTATGATACAGTGCCACCAGCACTCAGATGTTCGGGTACAGTGATGCATATGACACAGCCTCTTGCTCTTGAAAGCCTACCTCCAGTTAGGGAGACAGACATATTGCAATCCAGCGGGACACAAGTTACAATACACTGGTGGAGGTTGAGTTCTCTAAGTAGTAAGAGAGAAAAAAGGTTCTAAGTAGAGGAAACAGCAAGTACAAAGGTGCATTATGAAAGGAAGTTACATGAGGCAGCTTCCAAAACTTCATGGAAAAATTCCATTGTTTTCATTCCATTTTTCCCCACACTTTTGAAGTCCTCTCAATGTTCAGAAAGTAGTGTGCCTTACAAGGAAGGGAGTGGTCTGAGAAAATGTAGGAGTTATGTTAGCAATGTGTCCTGTCAGCAGTAAGAAATCAATAAAAAGCTCTTTACAAGGAGGATGTGCCCTTAGATTGTTTTTTTTTTCAAAGCAGATAATCTGGCAGCGGACTGGAATGGGGAGAGGCTAAGGGTCAATCTTGGTGAGGGCAGTAATAGTGGAAAGGAGAACAGACTAGTTCAGACTGTATTTTAGAGACAGAGTAGATGAGACTCTTCTCTGTTCTGTGATAATCTGTGCCCTTTGATAAATAATTTAGGCAAATAACTTAAAACTTTTGGCTTTTTCCTGTAGGTTCAAGGAGGGTCCATTTTTCTCCAAGAGAGAAAAAACCCTTATCCTTGGTGTGAGGGGTCAGCAGGGGTAATGGGAACACAGGAAATTTCCCTTTTGATACTGTACTGGTTTTCCTCTGATTGCGTTTCATTTCTGGACCTGCCTCAGGAACAACGGCATCTCACTCATGAGAACGTACAACGCAAGCAGGCGAGGACAGGAGAAGAGCGAGAAGAGGAGGAGGAAGAGCAGATCAGTGAGAGTGAAAGTGAGGATGAAGAGAACGAGATCATTTATAACCCCAAAAACCTGCCCCTCGGCTGGGATGGCAAGGTGAGTCCCAGAATGACCAGCCACCCATTGCTCCTACCCCCACTCCCTGAGCCCCCATTTTGAAAGCAGTGCAACCCTTAGCAGATGTTGGCCTAATATAATTTCTTATCTGATTTCTTTTAGCCCATTCCTTACTGGCTGTATAAACTTCATGGCCTAAACATCAACTACAACTGTGAGATTTGTGGAAACTATACCTACCGAGGGCCCAAGGCTTTCCAGCGGCACTTTGCTGTAAGGAATTTGGCCATTTCTCCTGGAAATTGAAGTATGAAACATGAGAATTCTAGGGAAGAGGACAGAACAGCCTGAGAAGACCACTAGTGTCCAAGCTGAAGGGGAATTACAGAGAGGTTTAAAGTCACTCAGATGACTTTAGCTTTAAACACTTGTGCTAGCTTTGAATAACGCCTAAGAGTTTCTGCTTCATTCTACCACTCAGTTAATTGAACCTCATTTCTGTTTTCTCTTGCTTATTCTTGTAACTTCTCTCTTTTCTTTCTACCAACATCTTAGACTAGTCTGACTTCTTCGTCATTTCTTTAACCCATCTCCATTACTTGAGACTACAGAGGGGCTGACTGCATCTCTCTTTGGAACTTAAATGAACTTTTACCTCTTTGATTAAAAAAACCAATGGAATGACATTTATTAACTTATCCTTAAGACAAGGAATTGTTTGTGTGAAACTCCAGTAAGTGGATTTTTGTTTGTTTGTTTTTTCACAGAATAGAAAAGACTTCCTAGTTCTAGGATTGCAAATACATGTAAACTGCTTTCTCCCTCTCTTACAACAAATATTATTAGTTTACCATGACTTTTTTCCTGCCAAACACTTGAGTGGTTTCCGAATCAACACTGCCTTTACAAACCTGAATTTGTCAGTTTGTCATACTGTGGTGACTTCCGTGTTGCTGTGATTCTGGAAGCTATGCCACCGGTATTTTAAATACCAGAAGGGCAATGGTGGACATATTTCAGCTGAGCTTCCAGACAAAGACAGACGAGGAAGAAGAAGAGACAGGCAACTTCCAAATATTTAGTCACCGAAAATCTTATGAATAGCAGTGGAACACTGTCAGCACGAGAATATTGTCAGATATAGTGCCGGAAGATGAGCCCCTCAGGTTGGAAGGCACACAAAATACAACGGGAAAAGCTGCCTCATCAAAGTAGAGGTGACTGATGACATGAGTGGAGTAATGCCTTTGGGACCTTCATTTGCAGATAGAGCACATCTCCACAAAATAAAGAGAAACCGCTGTAAGCATCCATTAATAATCGGACCATGGAATGTACAGAGTATGAATCTAGGAAAATTGGAAATTGTCAAAAATGAAATGAAACATGAACATCAATATCTTAGGTTAGTGAGCTGAAATGGACTGGTATTGACCATTTTGAATCTGAAAATCACATGATTTATGCTGGGAATGAAAATTGAGAAGAAATGGCATCGCATTCATTATTTAAAAAATCATAGCAAGATCTGCCTTGAAGTACAATGCTGTCTGAGATAGGATAATATTCATCATATATGCCTACAAGGAAGTTAATACCACTACTATTCAAGTTTATGTACCAGCCACTAAAACCAGTGATGATGAAATTGAAGAATTCTTCAGTCTAAAATTGATCAAACATGCAATCAAAATATCTTGATCATGACTGGAAATAGGAATGCAAAGGTTGGAAACAAAAAGGAAGGATTGGGAGTTGGAAAATATAACCTTGGTGATAGAAATGCTGAAGATCTCATGTTAGAATTTTGCAAGTCCAATGATTTCTTCATTGCAAATAACTTTTGAATAATATAATAGATGACCATACTCTTAGACCTCACCAGATGGAATACACAGAAATCAAATTGACTACATATGTGGAAACAAGACAATGGTAAAGCTCCATATCATCAGCCAAAATCAGGCTAGGGCCAGACTGAAACAGACCATCAATTGCTCATATGCAAATTCAAGCTGAAGCTGAAGAATATTAAAACAAATCCATAAGAGCCAAAATATGACCTTGAACATATCCTACCTGAATTAGAGTTCATTTGAAGAACAGATTTGATACATTAGACACTAGACCAAAGACTAGAAGAGTAGTGGGATGACATCAAGAACATCATACAGGAAGAAAGCGAAAGGTCATTAAAAAGACAAGAAGGAAAAGACCAAAATGGATATCAGAAGAGATTGGAATGTGCTAGCATAGAGATGCTAAAGAAAAAGAGGTAAAAGAAGAGCTAAATAGAGAATTTCAAGAGGCAGCTCAAGAAGACAGAGTCAGCTATTACAACGAAATGTGCAAAGATCTGGAAATAGAAAACCAAAAGGGAAGAACATTCAGTGTTTCTCAAACTGAGGGAACTGAAGAAAAAATCCAACTTGCAATATTGAAGAATTATATGGGCAAAATATCGAATGATGCAGAAAGCATCAAATGAAGATGGAAGGAATACACAGTCACTGTACCAAAAAGAAATGATTGATGTTCAACCATTTCAAGAGGTAGCATATGACCAAGAGTCAATGATCCTGAAGGAAGAAATCCAAGGTGCATTGAAGGCATTGGCAAAGAACAAGGCACCGGGAATTGATGGAATGCAAATTGAAATCTTTTCAACAAACTGATACAGCACTAGAGGCACTCACTCATCTATGCCAAGAAATTTGGAAGAAAACTTCATGGCCAACTGACTGAAAGAGATCCATAGTTGTGCCCATTCCAGAGAGGTGACCCAACAGAATACAGAAATTGTTGGACAATATCATTAATATAGCATACAAGTAAAATTTTGCTAAAGATAATATAGAAACAGTTGCAACCATACATTGACAGAGAATTTCCAGAGGTGCAAGCTGGATTCAGAAGAGGACCTGGAATGAGGGATATCATTGCTGACATCAGATGGATCTTGGCTGAAAGCAGAGAATACCAGGAAAGTGTTAACCTGTGCTTTATTGACTACAAAAAGACTTACAACTCTGTGGATCATGACAAGCTATGGACAACATTGTAAAGTATGAGTATTATGGAACACTTAATTATGCTCACGAGGAACCTGTACATAGACCAAGAGACAGTTTTTCAAATTGAACAAGGGAATGCTGAATGGTTTAAAATTAGGAAAGGTGTGCACAGGCTTGTATTCTTTCGCCATATTTATTCAATCTGTATGCTGAGCAAATAATCCAGGAATCTGGATTATATGAAGAACATGGTATCAGAGTAGGAGGAGTGCTCATTAGCAAGCTGCGATATGCAGATGGTACATCCTTGCTTGCTGAAAACAAAGAGGATTTAAAATACTAATGAAGATTGAAATTCACAGCCTTTGGTATGGGTTGCATCTCTCAGTGTAAACAAAACAAAATTCCTCATCACTGGACCAATAGCATCGATGTAAATGGAGAAAATATTCAAGTTGTCAAAGACTTCATTTTGTTTGGATCAACTATCCGCACTTACGGAAGCAACAGTCAAGAAATCAAACAAGGTATTGCATTGGGCAAATCTGCTGCACAAGACCTCTTTAACGTGTTAAAGAGCAAAGATACCCGTTTGAAGACTAAGATGTGCCTGATCCAATTTATGGTATTTTTGATAACCTCATATGCATGTGAAAGTTGGATTGTAAATAACGAAGATTGTAGAATTGATGTGTTTGAGTTATGATGTTGGAGGAGAATATTAAAAGTACCTTGGACTGTCGAAAGAACACACCAATGTGTTGGAAGAAGTACAGCCAGAATGTTCCTTGGAAGCCAGGATGGCCATATGAGTCTCATACTTTGGACATGTCAGGTAGAACTAATCCCTGGAGAAGGATATCATGTTTGGTAAAGTGGAGGGTCGGAGAAAAAGAGGAAGACCCCCAATGAGATGGATTGGCACAGTGGCGGCAGCAGTGGGCTCAGGTGTAGCAGTGATTATGAGGTTGGCACAGGACCAGTGTTTCATTCTGTGTGCAGAGGATCACTATGAGTTGGTGCCAACTTAGTGACACCTAACAACAATAACAACTATGACTCTTTCCCGCCAAACACATGAGTTTTCTCTGAATCTTTTTCAACACTGCCTTTACAATCCTGAGTTTGCATATAGGGTAAAGCTCAAACTATTTGTCATTCCTGAGCCTAAACTGTCATTATGTTAGTCTCCCTGCTGTCTTTCACCTCCTATCTTTCTCTCCTTTACTTACAAAGATGACACTGGTCTGCTAGTATATCATACATGAGGCTTTGTGGGCTGCTTTTGGGAACTACATGACTTGCCTAAGGCTCTCCCAAAGCAGGTAGATGACTAGTCTTGGAATTGTTTTCTGTGATGTTGACCCAGAGTCTTTTTTTTTTTGAAAAACTACTGGATGTAGATTTTATAAACCTGTTCAGAAAGGCAAATTAGTGCAATGCTTCTATAAAATACCTGCTGCTTACTCGTCACAGCTAGTTTATACCTAGCACTTGAGAAAGAAACACTGCCTTCAAGTGGAGTCCTTCTCAAAGGGTCAGGTGAAGACAGTGCTGTGTGTCCAGCTACTCCCATTTCACATTATCCTTTTGCTTCCCTCTTTCCCCAGGAATGGCGTCATGCTCATGGCATGAGGTGCTTGGGCATCCCAAACACTGCCCATTTTGCTAATGTGACACAGATTGAAGATGCCGTTTCCTGTAAGTCAATGCTACAAGTACCCACTCCTACAACCCCTTGTCCCAGTGCCCTGGTGAAGCAGGCCCAAGGGCAAAAAGATTGTGGGCATGTGAAAACTCGAGCAGTCACACATATAATTACGCATTTTTGAGAATGACTTTGCGTAGTGATTGTTCTTCCCGTGAGAAGAATCCTATGCTGAGTATAAAAAGGAATTCTTACCTGGAGCCTGTGAAGCTCCACTGTCTGGAACTTTTAGTGAATGGTTGTACAGGTTGTCCCCAACTAACAGCAGGGTTGTGTGCCAACTACAATGTAAGTTGGTTCTGATGTAAGTTAAGTACCTTCTTTTTGGGGGGCAGTTTTCATGGTAATTGCCTTTTCTTGTTAATATCATTATCTTTATGAATCATAACATTGAACATCTTTGAGTGAATGAACATCTGAGAATTTACATCAACTACAACATTGTACAAGAGGGCTCCAAACAATTTGTGAAAATATTCCATTATCTTTTAACTCCATTTTTCTACAAACTTTTTGAAACACCTTCGTATGTAGTACTTTTTACTGACATAGTTTATTTGGTACTTTTTAAACTATTCATTTCAGACAGCTATTGTTCTAACATTTCTAACTTTGTTTTTGTAGTTAAATGCCATTGAGTCAGTTCTGACCTACAGTTACCCTGTATAGGGTTTCCAAGCAGTCTCTGTTGAGTTTGAACCACCAACCTTGAGGTTCAAACTGACCTTGTAGTCTAGTACCTACCCTATAGCACCACATTAAGCTGTATGTTTAATGAATAGTTTATTTCGACTACTCATTTCTGTTGTCATGATTCTATTATTAAGTTAAATTTACCGAAGCTAAAGTATGTTTCAGTGATCTGTTGTCTTATGTCTGTCTTCTATCATTCTTACCACCTTGTTTATAAAAAATGTTATTTTTGCTTTTTAAATTTCTAGCATCATGCCATGGTCTTGACTGATAACTTCTCTCACACTGCTTTGTTTTGCTATTCTGCTTCACAGGTAAAGTTGGCTTAGAATCACATCACTGGTGTAGCATCAGATGCTGGGCCACAGCTCACAGTCTGGAGAGAGTCTGCCTGTTGGGGTCTTACTAGCTGTGGGGTCCTAAGGAAGTTCCGTCTCCTCTTAGTGCCTCTGTTGCCATATCTTTAAGCAGTGGAGGGTCGTACCATGTCTACTAGACACAGTTGTCTGAGATCAGATGGAAACACACAATGTATTGGGGACATAGCACAAGCTGCCATCAGCAGCAGCTTCACTGTGGGCCAATCTGCACAGTGTGAGGAGGGAGCGCCAAAGTCATTTTCATCTTTTCATTGGAAGGCTAATGTTAATACTACCAGATAGGATTTTTTTGTCCACATGCCTCTGAATATGCCAAGTACTGTGCGAGATCTTGTCCAGCCACTTAGTTCTCACACCAGCCCATGCGCTACTAGGTGTCATCTGCATTTTCAGATGAGAAAACTGATCCAGAGAATCCAGATGATGCTCTCAAAGTTGCATCCCTTGTATGGAACAAACCAGGTGTCATACCTATGCCTGTCCTCTTCTCTGTCCACAGTGCTCCATTGCCTGCCTTCCAGTTACCCTCATCTAGGTGCGGGCCCATCATAAGGGCTGTTCCAGGGAGAGACTTGGTGTATCCTCTCATTAGCCAACAGAGATTTTGAGGACTATTTTACCTTTTTTCCAGAATATTATTGGCAGCTTGATGATTCTTCCATTAGCCCTCTTCTCAGCTGTCAAGCCTCATCACTTGCTTCTCTGAGCTGGTTTTCATTGTTCAAGTCTTCAGTGTTGGGTGCCAGCTCTGTTCATCATGATGTCCTTTGGATGTTTTAGGTTCTCTATGTTGCATTTATAGTTTTACTTCTATGTAAACATTGTCACTTCCTCTTTCCATTTTCCCCTCCAGTCTTCTAGAAGAGTATCCATGTTGTTGTTGTCAGGTGCCATCGTGTCGGAACCGACTCATAGCGACCCTATGCACAGCAGAATGAAACAATGTCTGATCCTGGGCCAACCTCACTACC